TTTTTACTCATTTTGCTAGGTCCTAGGTTTCAATTTAGCGGTAACCTATCACGTGACCGAGAAGCGCGCCTTGACCTGTGTCAAGAGTGGCATACTGTAGACGGATGTAACAGAGAATCCGGTATTTTTTCAAAATAAAACATCTTTCAGATTCCTAAATAATACGGAAGTAGCTTAAGTTCCTTATTTTATCTGTGCGGCCCGGGACCCAATGACCCACAGACCAGTACCGGTCCGCGGCCTGGGGGTTGGGGACCGCTGGTCTAAATCGGAATCTGAATGAGCAGTGTAAATCAGTATTTTGAGGTAGGCATGACAATTATACATGATTAATATAACACCTGATAGTGCGCTAGGTAGTTCTGGTAGCACGCCATCACGTGGGGCTGTCTCGTTACTGGGCCAGGCTCTGACATCTTTTCGGCCTCCACTGAGCTTTCTTCCTCCATGGCGAGAGCAGATACAAAGGAGGCCTGAGATATGTGGCTTGGCAGAGGCTGGGAAGGCAATGGGGGCAGCATTGGTGGTAGAGGCAGAGGACGAGGCTCAGTGATCAGCTCCCCGTTGAGGACGTAAGTGAGAGGACCTTCAACACTGTGGTAGATGGAGCTCCGGCTAAACAAGGTGAAAAATATTTCATCAAAATTAATACTAAGTTTGAAAGGTATTCGGTACTATGTATAATTTTTTAAAAAATGTATTACTGAATAGTTTCCTTAAACATCAGAGGACATTTCGAGACATTAAATTGATCTTTTTCATGTTATAATACGCAGCTTAGTCACAAGCGACACCCCGATTCGATATTTAACATTATTTGAAGTCTTTCCCTGTTCTAATGTCATATTTGTCTCAGCCTCCTGAAAAGCAACACTGAAACCAAGGTACACAAATAGATGGATGACATTGCTTTTAATTACAGAATCGAACTGACCTGTAGTTCTCCATGTAATAAGGCGGTTGGGGCGGTTGCTGCATCTGTTGCCTTCTCCTCTTTTTCCGTCCCGGATATGTTCCTGGACCCTCATCTGCACTGCTAATCGGCTCAAAGTCTTCAGCGGCAGAGAAGTAGGCTTCGCTGTCAGCCACCGACATGCTTGAGTCGGCGGATCGGTACTGATGGAAGGTGTTGGAATCTGCTGAGGGTGTGAAGGGGAAAGAGCCATAGCTTCGACGCTGACGTGGTGAATCTAGGACGTTCTCGTCACTTCGGGAAACATCACCACTGAACTGAACACCTCCAGACAGCACTGGGGGAGGCCTGTCATTGAAAACAGCAGCTGACAGGCTCTTGGTGCTGCCTAATCGACTAGAGTGCACTGAGGATTGGCGCTTGAGGGGAGAGCACAGGGGTGAACGCACGGAAGTGCGTTCCTGGGAGTTGTTGGGTGAAAGGGGCGAGCCCTCTGGAATATCCCGGAAAGTGCTGTCAAAGCCATAGACAGGAGTGGCACAAGTAAAGAAAGAAAAAAACAAAAATAAATTATGTAAAAGTGGAAATCCACGGCAGCATTCTCAATGTTACTCACTCAACAGAACTTTTGCCATTCACAGGGAACATGCGTTGTTCGACGCTTGGCGAGGGAGTGTCCCTTTCTCCAGCCAGCAGGGGCAAAGCCGCACTGGAGGAACTATTCTCCTCAGAGGAGGAGGCAGAGCTCTGAGAGCGTTGGGGTACCTGAAGACTAAGGTGCTGCTGACCTCGCCTCTCAGGCACCTCGGGAGGCAGGCAGGGAGAGTGCGTATCTGTTTTCAGTCCAACAGGCCTTCCTGAAAAAAAAAACAAAAAAAACAACAACATTGATTAGATACAAAGTACATAAACTAGTGAATGGAATTGGCGCTCAGTATAATTTACAAGTCATCAATCGTCAGGGTTATAATTCAAATGTTTCTGAACAAACCTCCCAATGACAACAGTACTTTTCCCCCCCAAAGAAAAACAATAAATGCACTGCTCCACATTCTTACGCAGAACAAAGTTTGGAGACATTTTATAAGTTGAAAAGAACTGAAAAAGTCATTTATTGAATTTGTGGCATTAGTAGGTCATACTCTATGAAATCAAAACTATTTTAATTAAAAGCATCTAAACAGGTCAAGTTGTAGGACCTGCTTGACTCTTGACGAAGGTGGATGCTTTTTGCTCTGCTCCTGCTCCGCTTTCCTTATCTCCCTGCTTGCTGACTTGGTCAATGTGCTGTCCTAGGTCTCAATTTATTCTATTCCTTGACATATGACATTTCATTGAATCAGTTCTTACCATCCACTTTGGGTGTTTCCTTGGTCATAATCCACTCTCCAGGTTGAAGCAAAGACTGACCATAACACATATCAGATTCAGTGCTAGAAGAAGAGAATGCGGATGAGGAGGACGGTGTCATCTCTTCCAGTTTGAAGAAGTCCAAGCCCATGTTCGTTCCTCCAAAGAACCTGCAGCCTCCAAGGCAGCCACAGCGATTACGGCTGCGCTTGTTTCGAATGCCAGCCTCTTCAGGCCACAGGAACCAGAGTCTTGAAAGAAAGATGAGGGAAACAGGTCACTATAAAGTAACAAAAGCAATACTGCAAGGTTGAAAGGCTGCACTTGGCAGGCAAAAGCAAATGAGAGATTGTGTTTATGTACCTTTTGGTCTGCGTGTCATGTAGTTCTAGAAATTGCCTCTGCACTTCACATTTGGCTGAGTGGTCAGCGGCCAGGGCAATGTCTGCCGTAATGAGGTTCAGGTTGATAGAACCCGCCTCCAGCCAGACAGAGCGTCGCATCACTGCTGGCTGGCAGAGACTCGGTGGCTGACCTGAGACTTGCCCCTGCCCGGCCGGCAGCAGCCTGCTCATGTCACTGTGCTGCTGTTGCTCTATGTACTGCTGGATGTTTAGGTCCTGCACCACAGCACTGATCCCCTCACCCACTGCCTGGTTATGCAGGTTGCAGTTGGCCACACGTAAAATACCCGTCTGGAAAGAAGTAGTATGTGTTACACTGACAGATACAGTCAAAAGATACTAAAACACCAGTTGTTGTTCTTCCATAGTGGAGAGCTTTGTGGGATAATTCAAATTTAATAGAATAATAAGTGAGGGGGTTAAATACTTTGATATTAGCAGCACAGCCATGTTCAACAATGAAAAGGTCCAATCCATCCATGGCCAGTCTCGTCATGGTGTACTTCAGCTCCTCTGATGTTCGACAGTGACCCGGCATGCAGGTTAACTAAAACACAACATATTCAGGGATGAGAGTGGCTAGTGATGAAAAAATCTGAAAATCAGCTGGAGGTCTGGGGGCCGCAAGCCCGGATGGGGGCCCAGGGGGCAAAGCCCCTGGAAGCTAATGGGGTTTAAGAGATTTTAAAGCCTTAAAACCATTAATTTTATGAACAAAATTTTATAATTTTTGTTGAAATACCATTCCCTCTTTGCTTACAAAATTGGCACTTTATACTAAACATGGTAAGATGAAGTGTATTCAATGTACACACTACTTGAAACTTTCACAGAAAAAACATCCCAAGATTGTTCACTCTTCTTTCAAGTGAAAATTTGGCATAGGCCTTTGTGCAATTTTGCTTATGCATTCCTGGTGAGCACCAACATGTAACTTCAAAATTGCTGCTCAAAATCACAACTAAAAAAGGAAACACATTCCCTGCCATATTTAAGATTTGTTCATTACTTGTATTCATAAAATGTTGTGTAAATGTGATAAAAAGCTGTTGATTCTTACCTCATACAGTGATAGTGAAGTCCCACACTGTTTACTATATATGGGTAATGAATGCATTTTCCGTATAGAATGACATCGTCACACTCTGTACACAGAGCTTTACCAGCGACATCGAGCTTATTCACGAAATCCGACACAAGCACAGACAATGGTTCCTCTTTACTGGTTCCGACTGGGGACACCGTCAGCTTTCTATCCAACCAGTCCCATCAAAACTTTTTTTCAGATCCGCACCTATCCGACGCATGTTGGCTTCGTCACGAGTCTCAATAACATTCGGCATTTGTTTAATACAAACTACATACACGAATAATTTCAATACACTACATCCCTCATGCAAAACCATTCAGAATTCGCGGAAAAGGGCGTTTAGGAAGGCGAACAAGGATTGGTTGTGATTTTGCATTTGCCGATATAGCGACCAATCACAACAAGTAAGACATTGGTTTTAGCCCATATTCGAAGTAACGACAAACTAACGCTTTGCGTGAAAAAAAACGGTATTCAAAATGGATGCTTGCAAACTTTAGTTGTAAACATTACGAGTCCCGAGTCTGCCGAAGACAAGTAAGTCCGGCAGCCCAGAAATAACACCAGACCCCCCCCCCCCTAAAATTTTCTCAACGGATTTGGAACAATATAAAAAAGGTCCATTTTGACTGGAAAAAAAAACGGAATTCCGCCAAAAAGTGGAAAAATCTCATCCCTGCATATTTGATGGTTTACAGTGGTAGTAGCAAAGGCATGCTGACTTTGAAGGGTGAACACACACACGAGGTAATCTATGGCGTGCTTCAGACCAGCTGACATTTACAAGTCCAGTACATTTGGTCTATGATGGGCTCAAGTTTGGTACACTTACTTCTGCTCCACTGCTGCTTGGAAAAGGCGCGCAAGGTCTGAGCACAGGGAGTGACATGGGGGTGCAATCTAGCTGTGTTAAATGTTGTGCTGTGGCCTGTGTGATGTGTTAATTACCTGAACACGTTTCTTGCAATGAATTCAATACAACAATTTTGAGCATATATATATATATATATATATATATATATATTTTTTTTTTTTTTTTTTTTAA